TTTTTTTTTTTTTTTTTTTTTTTTTGCACTTTCGGCCAAACCCATCCCCAACAGCAGCTTCACACAGCACAGAAGTATCAATAAAAAGGCCAACAAAAACAAAACCACCTCACCGGTCTACCCTAATTGCAAAGTCAACGAAGCTGCACACATGCACATTGCCTGTTCCAATAACCCGAATCTAAATTAAATGTGAAAGTTAACCCTAATCTACCAGTAATCAATCCTGAATTTCACACAGCACAGAAGGATCCATAAAAAAGCCAACAAAAGCAAAACCATCTCATCTTACGGGTCTACCCTAAGTCTACAAAGTTGCAAACACACACATCTCCTGTTCCAATAACCCTATTCTAATGTGAAAGTTAACCCTAATCTGCCAGTAATCAATCCTGAATTACCTAAACATCGAAAGAACGGCTTTATGTCGTAATTTAGTGCGGCACCCTCCACTACGTGACCAAGACGACGTAATCCGCAGCAGCGAGGAGGCAAGCAGGCAGGGGTTATAGAGAATGGCAGGACCAATGTGGGCCGTAGCACCAGGCCCGTCATTCCCGTAGGCCCCTGCAAATGTTCATTCTACCCAAAGCGTCAACAGATCCCAGATGACCAACAGCACCATCAAAACGGCCAATTTTCATTCCGCCTGGCAGACCAGCGACTGTTGCCAGTCACAGGTAGGTGGTTCCATGTACACGACGATGGAGAATAAAGGGTCAGTCGCCCTGCTCCGCGGGGGCAGGCGAGGCACTCCACACAACAAGTCGCTCCACAGCAGAAAAGATCAATCCACAGCAGTCAGAAGATGATAGGTAAAAGCGGATGATAATGAATCTGTTGGTGTTAGGTAATATGTTGATGACGGGGCGTTGCATGGTAGTTGGTGAGTAATAAGCGAACTATTGAAAATAAAGCGATAGCAAGTAGGCAGTCTATTGGGAATTGGTTATAAAGAATCTAAAGATGATAGGTAACAGGTGATCGGTTTGTGCTAAGGTGATAGGTATAGGGTAATCCCTTACAGCAGGCAAGACAAGCTACAGCAGCGATGGCTGTTGAAGAAGTTCCTCCAGTCATATCTCGCAACGACCAACCACACATGTGCAACAGGCTGCCGGTGGAGCCCAGATCCAACGCTGCTCGTTTCACAGAAAGGCAACCATCTTAAAGAAGATGCCGAAATCCTGACTCGATCTTCTCTCTACTTCTCACCAACAGTGTACTTACGGGAGAAGCCAAAATTCCCACGATCCCCGGATGGTAATGGATGATAATGGATATAGATAGTAATCCGTTAGCAACTGTTACCCGCCCTCAATTTACTCGCTCGTAATACACATTCTTCGCAACAGAAGGTCTATCTTGCCTTTCCTTCGTGCCAACGATGCCCTGATAGATTATCAAAGTTCCCACGATCAATAGGGCACTGTGACAGCACAACTGGCTGGAAAAGCAACCAACACCCTGCCACTCCACACGGCATGAATGCAAAAGCAGCACCCGAAGGAGATGGTGACAGTAACGACAGGATGCTAATAATAGATCACTTCCAGATTAGCAAGCCAGAGGGTACATAGCTGGTGTGACGAAATTTCCCAGCCGGGAGAAGGCCATGACCTCGTACCACACCAAACCGTCTTCTCGCAAACCACTCTTCACCTGCCTCTCCCTTGCGCCAACAATCCGACGATCAATATGGCCCCGGCACAACTGACAGGAAGAGTAGCCGACACCTTGCCACTCTGCACATCATGAATAAAGGAGCAGCACCTTGTAGTTGCACTCACAATTTGCGGCAAACCTTGATGGAGTTAAAATCCCTTCACCAACAGCAGCATCCAACCAAGGCTGACGCAGCAGCGATGTATTCATGGAAGCTCCATATCTGTGACCAAGGCGAATGCCCTGACCTGTTCATAATACCGATATGGGGGGGCGTCGTCAAAGTCCCACCCATGCCTGCCAAACTGGCAAGGAGGAGGGGCCATGAGAGGAACACGATGACACTATTCGGTCGCAGGGGCGTTACCCTTCCCTCGATACTCCCGGCGTCCATAAAGTTACAAAAATTCGGAGCCGGTGAAACCACAGCACGATGCTAACGCAGCACTGTGCTACGGCCTGGGTTGAGGTCCCCGGATTTGTGTCACATGTGTGTTTGAAATTCTACTGAACGCCAGCGCTAACTTCATGGAATGATGGTGCAAGCGGACGGGCAGAAATCAAACCCACTCAGTGACACACAATCCAGCGCTGGCACAACAGCCAAACTACATGGCACACAAGCAAACTGCGTGGGAATACAAGGCACGCGTATGGGCAGTAAGGCAGCAATGCAGTGAGGCACAAAGCAACACCAGCACGGCAAACTGACATGGCAAGCTGGGGGGAAGCAAGGCAGCAAAGGAGCACAGACAAAGCAGTCCGCACATCCAACACAGACCAAAGCAATCCACCACCTACTGACACCACAAGAAGCAGTCCAAACATCCAACACCGACCAAAGCAATCCACCACCTACTCACAACACAAGAAGCAGTCCACACATCCAACACAGACCAAAGCAGACTATTAGTTCCCACCATCTGCTGTGCCAGGGACCACTTGGACGGATGTCTATCATCGCCCGTAGACCATATGTATTACGGACATCACGAACGGAGGGCCCCCTCACAGTCCTGCTGGCACATCAAACAACCCACCACAGACTGTTTGGCACTCCTTAGAGGCGCTGAGTGAGCACACACAAGACGTACTTAAAACAAATTGTCTGTGTGTGTGTGTGTGTGTTTAATGTGGGTGTGGGTGTTTTTGTGTCTGTGTTTGCAGCATATCCCATGGCGTATCCACCATGCACTCCATACCATTCATGGTACACCCGGCTAGGCTGTAACCAAACTGATGGTGTATGCTGCCACTCTACTCCTCATGAAGCTCCCTCTTGCACCAGTGGCTTGCCAAGACCAGCTTTCCAGAGTCCAAAACAAACAGGCTAGAGGGCATTGGGGAGGCGATAGGGCAGGCAACGGAAGCATGTGATGCGCAACCTCACGCCCCCGGGCGGCGCTCCGTACTTCGGACGTCGATCAGAGTAGCTAGGGGCGTGGCCGAGGATTTTCGGCCATGGGGGTTGAGCCACCCCGTCGAAACGGGGGTCTCTTGCTTCAGGCCGAGGTGTCGAGGCTGGGGCTTGAGCTGTCGCTGGGGGCGAATGATGGCGTTCTACGGGCTGACCGTCGCTCCCCAATGAGAAAGGAAAAAACACAAAACGAGAGGAGGGGGCGGGGGGGAGAAGAGAAACGAAGCCGACGGGGACGAAGTTCCGTTCCCCGAGGCATGTAGTTTGTGCAGCCCTTGGGGGTGAAGGCCCCAAGAACAGGTTCAGGCTTCATTGTCAGACTCGTAGTCAGGGCGGACGGCGCGGCACGGGCTCGCCCGGGGTTGGGCAGGTCGATGGGACCCAGGTTCAGAAATAGGCAGCGAGCGCACCCGCGTTGCGAGAGAGTTCGGGGGATCAAGTAGCCCCTTTGTATTCCCAGGACCAACCGTCGCCACGAGCACGAGTCCCCCTAGCAATACGAGTGACAATTAAACCGCGGTCGCCAGGTGCGTTGTTGCCGCAAATACCCTTTAGGGTATCCGCCCTGTTTTTTGCAAGCGACAGAAAATAAGTTTGGTTTAAAGTAAAATATACTGCGCAAGGCGCAGCTGTGTCTGTGGTTTACATCGACTGGATGGTTGACTAGAGTAGAGAGTGTGTGGGCGCGCAGACTTAAGCCGCGCGTGATCTTTTCTTTTGTTGATAAT